AGTCAATACATTCTGCAGCTGTTTCAACCAGTTGCACCTAAAGGCTGTTAAACAAAGGTGAATAGTTGTTTCAGTGATAGGTGCCCTGGCAGGAAGTCACACCCAGATCTTTATGCCAGGAGGATAACATTTTATTCAGAATCAGTTCACCCATTTTTCTGTTAATGTTTTTGGAGTCTTTGACGTGGCCTTGAGGTCTATGGATATGACACTGTCTATTGGTGTCATGGACCGAGCAGATCCAGGCTCAGATTTGTGGACAATAGGACCATTTGTATGGCAGTCACACTACATACATAGCATACACAAATGAGCAGTTAGACTGTGTCTACTCCTGAAAATGTATTGACCACTGGCATGATAAATTTAGATTATGAATTCCGAGCTGGGGTCACATAACTACTTCAGTACATCCCAGAAACAGCCCAGACCTGCAGAAACCCACAGTCTCAATATGCCAGATTACTCATATGAATGGGTCCTTAGAGTCAATGCACACATCCTCTCTTTATAAAAGAAGTTGAGAACCTTTGGCCTTCCAGATGTTTTGGATTAAATCTCCCACAGTCCTTTGCCATTGACAATCCTGGCTGGGGCTGGTGAATTGAAACCTGAAATGTCTGGAGTACTGCAAGTCCCTCACCCCCACGGGATAAAAATAATGTACTCTGTTTCTGTGCCCCAGCAGTTCTTGTTGGGCCAAGGCAAAGAATTGTAGGGAAAAGTTAAGGAATTTTTTATTTTCTGTTATATGTTATGAGTTGCTTCCAGTGTTGTCCATCTACCAGGATAATGGACATTATTGGCAACTCAGTTCTGTCTCCCCTGTCCACCTCACAAATCTATTCCAGAGAGTTGAGGGACCAGGTTTAGAGGGAAGTAGAAAAATGACAGGAGCTTCATAACCTTTTGTAACATTGGGGGCTGTTAATATTCCCTAAGAGAAGAACACTCAACCTTAAGGATAAATGTGAATTATTTAGCTTGAACTGTGCACCAAAATTAGAATTGCTCAAGCTATTGTATTCCCCATCACCATGTACAGATGTGAGAGCTGGACAGTCATGACAGTGGATAAGAAGTAAATTAATTCATTTGAGATGTGGTGACGGAGAAGAATGCTGAGGATACCATAGACAGCCAAAAAGACAAACAAATGGGTTCTTGAACAGATCAAACCTGAACTCTCCCTGGAATTCAAGAACATCAAATTGAGGCTGTCATCCTTGGCCACATCATGAGGAGGCTTGATTAAATTAAAAAGATGGAGGGCAGGAGAAAGAGGAAGACTGCACACTAGATGGATAGACTCAACAGACCCTCAATTAGGGGGTCTTGGAGATGTTTCATCTACAGCAGGGGTAGGCAACCTTTCACCTTTAAGGGCCAAGGGACTTGGGCTCCCAGAAGCCTCAGCCATGTTGGCCAATAGTCCCATGTTGGCCAATAGCTCCTGGGATTCTGGGAGCTGAAGTCCCTCGGCCCTTAAAGGGGAAAGGTTGCCTGCCCCTGATCTACAGGCTCACCGTGAGTTGGAGGACAGTTAACAACAACAACAGAGTCACTTGACAAACTATTAATGGCAAAAAGGATCAGCAAAAGTCCTGGGAGAATGGGAATTTTCCTTTCCCCTTTATATTTAACTACCATGACGTCAGATCTTTTTAAGAAGGAACATTTTTGCCACAGTAGTTTTTAACAACAGCAGGCATGCCGCTAGTGTGAGCTCAGTGTTTACATGACCATGCTCTCCAGAATTTGAGTGATGACTACCACCAGGAACACAGGAAGCTGCCGGATACTGAGCCAGGTCATTAATCTAGCTAGCCCAGTATTGTTGTCACTGGCCAGTAGTAGCTTTCTAGGGTTCCACTCTGGAGTCCCAGCTAGCTGTACCTGGAAATGCCAATGAAAAGATGTTCTGCCACTAAGCTACGGCCCCTCACTGGTTGCAAGAAAATTTTACCACTAGTTTCTTAAATAAATGTGATGCCATCTCATTCTTAGCAACTCTTATTAACTCTTCCACAACTGAAGCAGAACGTACTAATTAATTTTCATTAGATCACAATTACATAGGTTTAGAAGATACTTTAGTATTCTTTTGTGCTTTGTATGTGACTTGGTCACTCTGTATGTGACTTGGTCACTCTGTGTTTATGTACATTCAAGTCGTCTGTCAACTTAGGTGACACTATGAATTTAATAGGATTTTCTTAGGTAAGGAACACTCAGAAGTGGTTTTGCCAGTTCAGCATCCGGAATTTAGTGGCAGACTCCCATGCAAATGCCAACCAGGGCTGGCCCTACTTAGCTTCCAAGATCAAACAGGATTTGGTTCCTTTAGGTTATTTAGACTAGGTCTGCCTTGTTCCTAATTAGGGGAGAAGTGCAGTATAAATGAAAGAAAATGAATTTCTCTTTTAAAAGAACTGAAGTCATACTAAAATTGAAATGCTGCCTGTCTTGTACAAAAATAGTTAGCAGTCTTGTACAAAAATAATTTTTAGAGAGATGAGTTTGTTCCAGAGCTGACATGTTTAAATCTTTCTATGTGTATATATTAGCTAATGTGCCCCCCCTACCCCCAGCCATAGGCAGAAAAAAAGGGAGGAATAACTTATAAATTGGGCTGGAGAGGTTCCTGTTGGTCAGGAAGCAGAAACAGCAGGGGGGGAAATGAAAAGTTGGGAAGGCAGACTTATGGTGTGGTAGAGATAAAAAGAGGAGTGTTTGTGTTCTTAGGTGCAGCAACTGAGAATGCCGGGAAAGGGAGAAATATAAGGAAGGGCAGTTAAGAAAGAATGAGAAGAAATTTGTGTGAAGCACATAGAGAAAAGAGGTCTACTGCCATACTCTCATTCCATACCATCTCCATCTGTGTAGGCAGTGGTTCCATTAGGTTTCTGAAATAAATGGGATGCCACAAGTTTCTGAAATAAATGGGGTGCCACCTCAGTGCTGTTACATGACATCATCTCTTCTCAAGTCACAAATAATTGGAGCACAGAACATTAAAAAAAATCAGTGTACTAGGGGTGTATCTACACAGTAGAAATAATGCAGTTTGATGCCACTGTAACTGTCATGGCTCTGTCCTAGAGAATACTGGGATTTATAGTTTTGTGAGGCACCACCCTTCTTTGGCAGAGAAGGCTAAAGACCTTGTAAAACTACAAATCCCAGTATTCTCTAGGATAGAGCCATGACAGTTACAGTGGCATCAAACTGCATTATTTCCACAGGATCCTTTGCCTTCCCTGAGGCTGAGAGAGTATAACTTGTCAAAGGTCACCCAGTTAATTTTCATGGCTGAGCAAGGATTCAGACCCTAATTTCCAGAGTCATGGTCCAATGCTCAAACCACTATGACATGCTGGGTAGTACCCAGAATCATAGAGTTGGAAGAGACCTCAAGGGTCATCCAGTCCAACTGTGTGCAATACACAATCAGAGCACTCCCAATAGATGGCCATCCAGTCTCTGTTTAAAAACCTCCAAAGAAGGAGACTCCACCACAGTCTGAGGTAATGTATTCCACTGTCAAACGGCTCTTACCATTAGAAAGTTCTTTCTAATATTTAGGTGGAATTTCTTTTCCTGTAGATTGATAATATATAGTTGTACTAAACTTTGCAAAAAATTGTTTTAGCACTGATTGAATGACAAACTTAAGATTAATTTCAAATCAGCATATGAGTACATATAAAACACTTTCCTGACTCAGAATCACTGGACTATGCTATCTTGTGTATTTTGCATCATAAAACAATATTTCCTTATGTTGTCACGATTGTTTAGTTCCAAAAATGTTTTCCTCACCTCTGTTTTTAATTTCTGACTCACAGGGTTTAACACGTGTTACTTAAATCATTATTCATCTAGCCTAAGATGGTGGTGTTTCCCTTGTTGCCAACTCTTGACTGAAATGGTTTTTGATTAAGTAAATAATTTAAACTGCTTGTGTAATGCTTCTGAACTGTATGAATTCTGACAGTAGTGTGACAAGGGGGAGTTTCACAAACTGTTTCCTCTTTGAACACTGTGCACTTCTGTAGAAAAAAAAATTTTTTACTGTTAGAATTGGGGAACATAAAAACACTAGATAGCTGTTTGGAAAAGTAGAACTTGTCCATAAAGTCTACCGTCATTAATCTATACATCTTGGTCAAAGTAACTTCAGTAGTTTAAAAGTAATAATGGAAGCCTTGGAAAAGCTTGGTAAACCACTGTATTGTGGAAATCAAATAGCCATTTTGTTCAGTTGTTGTTGTTGTTGTTAACTGCCCTTGAGTCAACTTTGACTCATGGCAATTCTATGGATGAGACATCTCCAAGCCCATCTGTCTGCAAATTCTTTGCTCATGGCCTGAAGGCCTAGGCTCTTGTCTTCCCTGATTGAGTTTAACCATCTGGCATGTGTTCTTCATCTCTTTCTACTGCCTTCTACCTTGCCTAACATAATTGCCTTTTCTAATAATTCATTTTTATTTGTGATGTGGACAAAGTATGATAGCCTCAGTTTAGTCATCTTGACTTCCAGAATGGCTATTTTGCTGAGACATTTAAAATACTTTTTATTCTCCTCATACATATTTTAGTTGCCTGCAAATCTTGACCAAAGTGTTGACTTGTGATGTTGGAATATTATTGATTATAGCTATGAGAATTCTAACAACTTATCAGGCCAGTCATAGACATTTCAAAACTAGTTGCAGAAAGAAAAATGGAAGAGTAATTAGGATTATCCATCATGGAGAATAATCAGATAGGGCTTGTGTGAGTTATGAAAAGACAGTGGACCTGAGGGTTAGGACTACCAGGAGGCAGGTTGTTGAAGGAACAAGTGCAGAGAGCATGCAGTGGATATGAAAAATGTAGATATGATCTAAAGAAGCATTTGGAAAAAATCCTTATGTAGGGACTCAAGTGGATGGATGGGCTCTTGGTTCCTCAGGTGGTATTGGTGGGGCACGAGGAATTTGTGGAATACTAGGGCTGCCAGCGTGGCATAGCTGTTTGAGTATTGGACTTTGGCTCTGGAGACCAGGGTTCGATTCTCAGCTCAGTCATGAAACCCACTGCGTTATTTCTCTAGTGTAGGTGCAGCCTAGATTCCAAAACAAAATGGGAAGTGTGTGGTCCTCCGGATGTTATTGGACTATGACTCTCCCATTACCCCTTACCATTGTCAATGTCAGTGTGGGAGTTGTAGTCTTAACAACTTCTGGAGAGAGGTATGCTTCCTACTCTCATTCCACAACATGCATATAGTTGCAGTATCTTTTACATTTCTTATATATTTTTAAAAATTTCCTGCTAAGTTTTTGTCTGGTGCCTGTACAACCAAGTGCTTTATATTCACCATTTTATTCTTGTTGAAAGTGCTGGACTGGTGGAAAAAATGCAGCTGTAGTTGCCCATCTTTTGAAGGTCCTTTAGTTGTGTGTTTCTACATGCCAGGGGATTGAACTAGATGACCCTGGTGGTTCCTTCCTATTCTGTGGCTCTGAGTAGCTGCTGTAATGCTGTGATAGAGACACTGTGGTAGCTCTGCTGTTCCCCCTTTAAGGCTTGGAAAAGCAGTAGCTCTTGACAACAAGGCTTAGCAGACAAGAAAAGAAGGGGAAACTATATACTCCACAGTGTGGACAGCTTTATAGTGACTCAAATGGCGGGAGTAGCATGATTTTCTTGTATACACAGTAGTGCTCTTGGCACAGCTAACCTTAATAGAAATGGTTTCATTCTTAACAATGGAAGAGATAAGGAAGACTTGCATGTAGAGCTGCCTTCCACCACTGTCCTCTGTCAGTAACCTGAATTCACAGTTGTACTTTGCTAGATAGGTGCTAGCTTGAGGGCAATTTCTACTTGTCTCAGTAGTGCAACACATTGCAGTACAATTTTGTACAGCTTAGCTTCAACCCAATGAACTCTTATTCTTTTTTATTGTAAAGCTTCCCACACTGTAGTAAAGCAAGTTGCTTACCCATTGAGCACTGTGAATGTTTTGTCTCAGACTGGAAGGATCTACATGCAAAACCATAGGGAGTGGAAGACAGAGCAACTGTTTTTTCCTAAATTCCAGGGATTCTTTTCCGATAGTGTCTTGCTTAGTTTAGAATTAACTTGGAGGAATTGCTACATTCCACAGGTTTCTACTTGACACAGTATGATGAACACAATTAAGGATAAGCCAGAGCATCAGTTGCAGAACAATTCAAGTTTTATTTTAGGATTTCCTGGAACTTACTGTGAAATGATACACCTACACCACCTCTTCTTTCTATTCTTAAAACACGTTTGCTCCAAAAACAAAATTGTTCCTCACTAATAGCTGATTGAGCAATTTCCACTCCCCGGCCTAGCACATCCCACAACATGTACCGTTTAGAGTAGCAGAAAATAAGTTTCTACATTATAGTTATTGCCAGTTATTGAAATGAGTATTGTGAAATACAAATGAGCCAGTTAACATTTTTAGTTTTAATTGTGCATATTTCCTTCCGAAGAGGTTTCAGTCCCTCTCACCCCTGGAACATCTCCAGTGCATCCTGCACTGGATTAGCTAGGGTTTGTTCAAATATAGCTTTGCTTTCTTACCTGAGAATTGTTTGGATAGGGCTTGTTCCTGAACAGATAAAAGGGACCTTCTTCTAGCGTTTGGAGTCTTGCCTAGAGAGGCCCCACTACAATAATAAGCTTTGATTATTGTGTTACTGAGAGAGTATTTTTGTAGTTTTTGTTTAGCTTCACAAATCAGAAAAGAGACCATGACTAAATTTTTTTTAAAAAATGGTTTGATTAGACATTACAAATTGAAGTGGTCATTAGGGGGTTTGCGTGAAGTGTTAGCAATATACTTATGATAGAGAATACTGTTTCTCTGTTACATTTGAATTAGGAGAAGCCAAGCACAGCTAAACTGGTGCTTAGATGGGTAGGGTGAAAGCCAGTAAACTGAGTTGGGGAACAGGACCACTATGAGGCATGCATTGGTGCCCTGGCAGTTGTACCACTGTAAACCACTCTGTACAGGGGTACCTTTAAGACTGGCTTGGACAACTGTAGCTAGGGCTTGGCTGTGCATGTGTTATGCCTTTGTTCAAAGAGTTGTTCTTTTAGTTGTCAAGCTATGCCCATGGTGTTAGTATTGATGCATAAAACTGTGAACAGTTTGGGTTCAAGTTACTTGAAGACATGTTAGACTGGGGTGGCTGGTATGCAGTTTGTGGGCTGTATCTGGTCCCATCAAGGCCTTTCCTGTGAACCTTGTTCTGTTATCTTACCTAAAACCATGCTTTTCTTCTGCTTTTCCAGTCCCTTTCTTCCCCCTCTTCCTTCTTATCTTCCATATTTTCTTCCATCCTTTCCATGTGTTTATCAGCAAATGCCTAAGTGTTCCATGGCACTGGCTTTGTATGATGAAAGCTCTGCTGCCACAGAGAGCTGAAGGAGTTGCTGTTGAAACTGGACAGTAACCATAGTTGCAAAAGAAATAAAAATAAAAATAAAAATAAAAAATTGGTGGTGATGCAGCTTCTACTAGGTTGCCAAGGGGTCCAGTGAAGTTACCCATTCCTACACTACATTCCTAAAGTCTTCAGAGGACCTTGTTGGTCATGTCAGTCTGTGGAATATCACCAGGCATGGCAAACTGGGCCTTTTGAGGGGTGGCTCCTACTGCCTGGGAAGGGTTTCTTCTTGCTACTGAGGTGGCATAAGCAACAGTGTGGTTCTGGTGGTTTATAAAAACACCTCTTTATTCAAGTGTTCTTTCACAGTGAGCATTAACACTGCATTATTTGCTATATTTGTTTTTTATTGCTGTGCTTCTGGATTTATTTTTAATGCACATTTTAATATTGCAGGCTGCTTTGAGTCTATTTTTTAAAATAGTCTCATATTTACAAAATATAAAAAGATACTATAAAATATAAAAATATAAAAATGTTTTAAATAAATTTATGTAAACACACAATTTTGAACGTCACTGTAA